GAGAGAGAGAGAGAGAGAGAGAGAGAGAGAGAGAGAGAGAGAGAGAGAGAGAGAGCATATGTAGATATGTTTCCCCGTGGCAAAATTGATACATGCAAAACAGTGTGAACGTCTTTCTCTTCATCTCCATCCGTTTTTTTTTTTTTTTCTCTCTCTCTCTCTCTCTCTCTCTATATATATATATATATATATTTCGGGGCCTAAACATAATTAGTTTTTTCTGAATATATATATTCCCACAACCAGTTATCACAAAGTGTACACAAAACATATATACAATTAGTAAACATGAAAAGCAGTTGTCACAACCAGTTCTCACAACCAGTTCTCACAACCAGTTCTCACAACCAGTTCTCACAACCAGTTCTCACAAGCAGTTCAAAATTGCAACCAGTTCAAATTAAGGACATAAAATTGTCATGATTATCACGACGACAATGACATCCATGTAGTACGTGACACTATCATTCCTACGCAACAGACACCTCATGCGCGCACGCACGCGCGCGCGTGCGTGCGCGCGCGCGAGAGAGAGAGAGAGAGAGAGAGAGAGAGAGAGAGAGAGAGAGAGAGAGAGAGAGAGATCATATGTAGATATGTGCCCCTGTGGCAAAAGCGATACATGCAAAACAGTGTGAACGTCTTTCTCTCTCTCTCTCTCTCTCTCTCTCTCTATATATATATATATATATATATATATATATATATATCACGATGGACAATGACATCCATGTGGTACGTGACAATATCACTCCTGCGCAACGGACACCTCCTGCGAAAGCACGGCGCCGTCAAAGTCGAGGCGGTGAGCGGCACCATCGTTGTCGGAGTTGGAAGACGACTTTTCGTCATCTGAAGCAGTTTCGCTTCCCGGCTCTACGGAAACATTGTCATCTTCGTCCGCAACACCCTCCACCGCACTATCAACGGCATCAGGGAGTCCATAATCAGCTTCCTCATCATAATGCTCAATAACTGGGTCGTCGACGTCCCATTGCTGCAACATGTTACGTGCCCAGTCTCCAACACGAGGGCTGCCGAAAACTTCAGTTGCAATGTCGAAGCGCCACAAGGTATCCCGGGCAGCGTATATATGCTGTCGTGCGGAGCGACGTCGATGGGTTACGTTTGTCAGTTTGCGGAAGACTGTGCGCAATTGATTTGTTTGTTTTTGTTCCACTCCAAAGCGGTGCAACACATGCGTGTCTTATATGACTTGGGGAAGTTCAGGCGTTTCGTGCAGTACTTGTTGATCACGGAGTGGAAACACTCGTTGTTGAAGGTCATCCTCGCACGTGTGTAGTACGCCATGTCAACACACCGCGCGATGGCCAAATGGACACGTCCCCCCGCCTCGTACAATGGCTCTCTGTCCGGACCACCGACCGCTTTGCACAGGTTGGACAACTCATTATCGCAACGGGAATGATCCCCGGCCCAGTGATTGGCGAGGTGTAGCACATGAGTGGCCAACACATCGCCATCGTCATCCCTTGCGTGCTCGCACAACCTGCAAGCGCCGTACAACCACTCCTTCGCCTCCTCCGCCGCATTGCAATGTAGTGTTTGCAACGCGTCGATCTCGACGACATCATCTGGCAACACCTTCCCTGCTTCGTCGGGGAAGAGCACACCCCAAACAATCTCAACGAGTTCATCCTTTTTTTTCGTGGACACCCTGACCACACGTACACCTTTCGTTTCGAGCCAAAGTTCGAGCTCCCTCTTTGTGAAACACTTCACCTCGCGCACATGCTCGCAAGCCCCGACCACAGCTGGTTTGACAGTCTTCGTGCCGCACACAGCCTTTCGCAAGCGTTTGACCAAAGTCTTCGCCTTATGCCACACACACTTTTGCGAGTCAATGTTCATTCGCCGCAATATGACGTCAACCGCTCCACAATCATCATGCACAACCTCTGCGATGATGAGGTTCTTCTCGTCCTTCAACCGATGAAGCAGTTTCTCCACACACCGTGTTTCCAACTTCCAAGACGACTCACTCCCCCGGAGCATGGTCTCCGTCCCCACGATCATTCATGACTTCAAATCCACCGCCGTCACCGTACAATGCTGAGCGTCGCGAGACGAATCGTAACGGTCGTCCACCAAAATGACGACGGATCGTTCGAGCTGCGCAATCGGGCGATGACCTTATCGAAGCTCTTTTGAGTAACACGTTCGACGTGTCGCAGCCACTGTCGGGAACCTGGGCCGTCCTCACGGAAGAAATTATAGAAAGTTTTTTTCCTTACCTTCCTTATCCCTAAGCCCAACAGGAGGTTATTCAATTGAGTGTAAGTCATTCCCGCAGTCAAAGTGGAGTGGAACAATTGAGTCTCCACCCTCGAATTTCTCACCCCACCTGGTGAAACAACCTTCGCGGAACCCCAGTGCCAAGTACACCTTTTACCACACTAGAATTGCAACTTGCAAATGTGACATGGATAATGTATCTTCGTGATGGTTACCTCCACGTCTTTCCCGTGCCGAGGACACGTTTGCTCAAACATCCCGAGAATCTGTAAAAGTTTCACAGGCTCAATGAAAACGACATCAGGTCTGGCCTTAGCATCTCACATGGCCATTTGGTCCCTCACGGTCAACCTTTCAAACATCGGATCATTATCCGAATATCCCGGCTTACCGTTGCGCCATTTCAAAGCGTCACTGTGAGGTCTACCACCTCTCGACTTCGGTGTCGCCGTTGAGTCCGATCCTTGTCTGCATGAACCCCCATGGGTTGACGATTGCTCGTCCGGGCCGTACTTTGACATCAGTTCATCGACGTGAACGGAACGGAACTCCACTCCAGGAGCTGGTCGAACACGTCCTCGTACGAACAATGATTTTTCTTCTTATCTTTCGACCCGCGAGCGTGAGTCGACAACTTTTTCCCCATCGCCTTTGCAATCTCACCCAGTTGATTTTGTTGATTGGGTCTGCATCGCACCCAGCGAGGCTTGCCTTCAAGAGGTGTACTGGACCTCGTACGGGGCGACCGAGGCGAGAAACTCATCTCAACCTCGCAATCATTAGACAACGAAAGAACATCGCGTGCACGGTTCGTGGAAACCGGAGTGCAAGATGTCGACAACACTTCTTCATCCGGTGATCGTGTCTCTCCTGTCAGATGAACGGGATCCGAAGCAAAGACACCTGCAACGAGAACCGCGCCGGTGTTTTGATGTTGCGAAAACGGGAACGAGCGCGGCAAAGCAAATGGATGCGCGACGTCCGAACGAGAGGCATGGACACCGCACATGGTCTGACTTGCGGACCAAGGCGTCGACAACATCGCTGCGAGAGAGCCCATGGGCGAAGAAAATGGAGGACGAGAAGAAACCACAGCGGATTGTGCAAAAAGGGACGTTGTGGGATCGCCAATGAAAGTGGTCAGAGCTGGGATTGCGGCAATGGTTGCGCACATGTGACTCAGGAGAGGACTTTGTGTGACAGTTGTCGAATTCGGCAGAGGAGGGAACGACAAAACCACCATTCTGTCATCCAAACGCTGCCTGGTTACAAGAGTCTCCAATATGAGTCCGTCGGATCGAGTACGTCCGCGTGGATCCAAAATCCCTCTCCCTCGACCGCGTGAAATATCATGGTACACCAGAGAGTCTTGCAAAGAAGAGAGAGTGCGTGAATCGGATGGAGATGAAGAGAGAGGAGTAGGAAGCAACGGGGATTTTGGCGACGACGACAAAGCCACAGGAGGTTGTTGGCGGTCCATGTTGATGCCCCGACTCTATGGATGGGGAAGGCCAGACGCACCTGCACACGCGAAAGCACAACTCCAAAGATCACGACCTACGTCCCAACACAGTCTATATATATATGTATATATATATATATATATATATATATATATATTCCATCTGGTGTGGGTGAGTGATAGTCTACTTTGATTTTGGTTAAGGTAGATTATCATTTACAGTGTAATCAGTGAGGGGATTTTGCAGACTGTTGAGGGTTCAACCTCCTGATGAGTCGGTGAAACTCCGACGAAACAGTTTGTCACAGCACCTCGTTTGTTGTCCTCTTCTCTCTCTCTCTGCCTACGGTTTACCGGGCAGTTCTGTTTGTGACGATATATATATATGTATATAGAAATCACGAACATTTTTTTTTTCCAATTTGTAAAAAAAAATTTTGTCGAAAGAAAAGGAAAAAATAATTGAACTGGGTTCTTTTTTGGCAATCGTGTTCATGACGCGGGCTGATTGCAATACATATATATATATATATATATATATATATATATATATATATATATATATATATATATATATATATATATATATATATATATCATCCTCTTGATGAGTCGGTGAAACTCCGTCGAAACGGTTTGTCACAGCCCCTCGTTTGTTGTCCTCTTCTCTCTCTCTGCCTACGGTTTACCGGGCAGTTCTGTTTGTGACGATATATATATATAATTGAATTGGGTTCAGTTCGTCGAGGGTTCAGCCTCTTTATGAGTCCGTCAAACCCATACGAAACCGTTTGTTACAGCCCCTGTTTTGTTGTCCTCTTCTCTCTCTCTGCAAACCATTTACCAGTCACTTCAGTGTTTGAATATATATATAGAGAGAGAGAGAGTTGCCAGGCCGAACGTACGGAGGCCCCTAAGCTGACCCCCGGACGTTCGGGCGTTCGGGTCCCCGTACGGGACCCCCACTCGAAGGGGTTCAGACCCCGCAAAAAATTATATTGGTACCTAAACATTATTATTTTTTTCTGATTTTTTTTTTTTTTGTTGTAAATTCTTTGTTATGTAAGCTACCTGTCCCTCAATTTTGAAGTCATTCTGTGGAGCCAAACAATAATGAAAAATCGGCAAAGATGATGGTGTTAAGACTTGCTTTCCCACTTACTAATTTGTTTTTTTTTCTTTTTCCAGTTTTTGTTTTACCTTTATTTCGGGGCCTGAAAAACATATTATTTTTTTAAAATTTATTTGGAGGTTCTCTATTATGTAAGATACATATATATATAAAATTTCATGGCATTTTACAAAGCAAAAAAAATAAAAAAAACTGCCAAAGATGGCGATGTCAAAAACTTGCTCGCCCACGTCATTCTCGTTTTATTTTTTCTTATTTTCATTCTTTATTTTTCGTATTTCATTTTTAGTTCAAATTTGGTAAGGAATTTGGATATACTGTTGAGGCAAATGTTTGGCTCGTAAGTAATATATATTTTTAGTTTATTTTTCTTCATGACGTTTTTTTTTTTTTTTTTAATTTTTGAAAACTTTTTTTTTTTTTTTTTTAGCGAAAGCACCAAGGAGACACAACTGTCAGTTCTGTCGTTTTTTATACATGGAATGAGACAAAAGCAAGGGTTCCACAGATGCGTCCTCATCATGACCGTATTGGACCTCTGAAAGGGCTCAGATACACTGAAGATAGTATGGAGTTGTGTACAGCGATCATGATGACACACAGGTTGTGGGGCGGCGCG